CACATAGGATTAAAAAACTAGATCTGATTGGTCCACATCAGCATATTCATTAAACAAAAAATGTTAAGTATGATTAAAACCTTAATTTCGTTTTAAAAATGGAAAAATTAAATAAAAAAGTTAAGTAACAAATAGAAAAGAAAATTATGTTAAAAAACTAAAAAATATTATCCTTAAAAATAAAATAGAAATTTGTTTTTGAAAGAATTAAAATAACAAAAAAACAATAGCATAAAAGTTCAAATTTAAAATATAAATCTATAATATATAAAAGTTGAAGGCATATTGCATTGAGGACGTCCACATGAGATTAAAAAAAATTGATCTGATTGGTTCATATCAGCATATTCATTAAACAGAAAATTATGTTAAGTATGATTAAAACCTTAATTTCGCATTAAAAATAGAAAATTAAATAAAAAAAGTTAAGTAACAGATAGAAAAGAAAATTATGCTAAAAACCAAAAAATAGTATCCTTAAAAATAAAATAGAAATTTGATTTCAAAAGAGTTTAAACAACAAAAAAAAAACAATAGCATAAAAGTTCAAATTTATATTATAAATTAGGAAAACTCTAACTTCTAAATTAATTGATAAGAAAATAAAAACATTGATTTCGTTTTATAGATGGAAAAATCAAAATAAAAAAAAAAGCTTAAGTAACAAATAGGAAAGAAAATTATGTTAAAAAAACCAAAAACTTAAATAGGTATATGTAGATAAAATATTCAAATCAAAGCATGCATATTGCACACAAAAGATAAAAACAGTGAAAAATAATGCAAAGACTCCACATCACCGATCCTACAAGTTAGAAAACTAAAATTATAAAATATTAGACTGTAAAAAAATAGACATCAATAAAAATTGAATAAAAACATAAGCTAAAACTCTTAGAAGACATGGTGGAGAAGAAAAAAATGGTTTTGCATGATCATTGCAGCTTCCTAACAAAATTAAATGCGAATCAACATAAATCATGGATTATATATGCAGTGATACACAACATCAATAAGATTTTCAATAAAAAAACTACATATTTGAACACATAAACCTTTAAGAAAAAAGAATTATATAAATTCTCTAGTAAACAGAAAAAATACCAAAATCTTAGCAATAAATTTTTTTCTCTAAATTAAATGTCTATGTACGTCAAAGTTGGATAATTCGATATGTGTCATTGTTATTATTTTACCTAATAATTTTCAAAAATTTATAAATAAAAATATGAGAAAATTACACATAATTTATTATATATTATAGTTTTAATAATTTAAAAGATGGTAACTAAAAAGGAATTAAATCAAACTATTAATACAAACTCGCGTATAGCGCGAGTTATATACCTAGTAATATATAAAAGTTGATAGCATAGTGCATTGAGGGCGTCCACATGGGATTAAAAAATTCGATAAGATTGGTCCACATCAGCATATTCATTAAATAAAAAATGTTAAGTATAATTATGACGAAAAAACATGATTTAATTGGTCCACATCAGCTTTTAAATCAAACTAAAAATTATTAAGTATAATTAAAATATTAAAAGTTAATTTAACAAATTATGTCCAACAAAAAAAGTAAATTCAATCTGATTGATCCAAATCAACATATTTATCAAATCAGAAAATGTTAATATGGTTTAAAAAATCTAAAAGTCAAATTAAAAAATTAACAATTAAGAATACATGTATAAAAAGTAACCATTATCAATTATCAATTTAAAAAAAATCTATAACAACTCGATTTAAAAATTAAAACAATGAAAACTGAATAAAAATATAACATAAAACTCTTGGAAGACATGATAGAGAAGGAAAAAATGGTTTTGCATGATCATTACAGCTTCCTAACAAAATTAAATGTGAATCAACATAAATCATGGATTATATATACAGTGGTACACAACATCAATAAGACTTTCAATTAAAAACTAAATATTTGAACACATTAAAATTTAAGAAAAAAATAACTATAGAAATTCTATGGAAAACAGAAATTAATACCAAAATTTTAGCAAGATTATATTTTTCTAAATCAAATGTATATATATGTCAAAGTTGGATAATTCGATAGGTGTCATTATTATTATTTTACTTAATATTTTTTAAAAAATTATAAATAAAATAGATAAACTACACATTATATATCAACTTCTCTTTTATAAATGAAAATTTATATAAATTTATATAATTTTTAATAATTTTAAAGATAATAGCTAAAAAAAATAAACCAAAATATTAATGCGCGAGTTATATACCTAGTATATATAATAAGGAAAAACTCTCTCCAGTGGAGCTATCCACATCAACAATTTATTTATATGTTTTATGGGCTTTTAATTTTCTAATTTATATAGGCTTTTATTTTGTATATAAGTACTTTACGAACCACAAAATATAAATTATCTAATTTTGATATTTAAATGGGCTTTTACATACATATTTATTGGATATTCATAAGACATAATTCAAAAGTTAAAAAAAATACTTATTTTACAAGCCACAAAAATGTAAAGTATCTACTAATAAAAAAATTTAGAATTTTATTTCGAATAAAAAATAAAAATATGTGTGAGATTGATGGTTAATTTCTTTTGTTAATCTCTTCAAAAATAAGCGACATATAAAAAATGAATAAAGTTATGGAGAGAAAAGATATAGATACATACTATAACGTATAAGTATAAGATCGAGTTTTTTAAAAAATCAACACATCACAATTTATATTTAAAAACAATAATTTAACAATAGCCCTAAATATTTTTAGGTTAATTAAAAAACTAAAACAACATTTCAAATTAAAAATGAACAGAACAAATATTAAATAGATAAACATAATAGTAATTTAAAAATATATTTTCAATTAAGAAAAAAAAGAGATTTGATAGGATTGATAGTAAATTTCTTTTGTTGATCTTGCTCAAAATAAGTGACATAAAAGAGAAAAAGCCAATTGAATAAAAATATTCAGTAAGAAAATATAGATATATTCGATAACATATAAGTATGAAAGTGAGTTTTTAACAATTAACATATTATAATTTCTTTTTAAAAAGTAACTTCACAATAGATCTACATTAGATAATAAAAAATTAAAAAAAATATTAAAAATTGAAAAATAGAACAAAAAATTATTAAAAAGGTAAACATAATAGTATTATAAAATTCTAAAATTATAAATTAAAAAATTGAATAAACAAAATAGCTCCGCAAAATCCTGTCAAAATATAAATTCAGAGTATTATTTACAATAAAAAGAAAAAAAAGAGCAAGACTGATGGTGAACTCCCTAAACCAAGAGCAAATGGTTTTCTTTAAACCCCGAAACACGTATTAAAGATAACTAGGTGGTTGTCTGCACATATGTGCGGGTATAATTGTTTTTATATACATTGTTAATTGTAATATTTAAATGTTGATTAGTTTTTTTTAAACATTGGTATGTTTGTATATATATTGTTTTAATATTTCACAAACTTCTTTCTGAAACCAATGTATTTTAAAAAAATTAATTTTATAATGCTTGTAATAATATATAATCACAAATATAAAAGTTATGTTAAATAATAATTAAATTCTTATAATATTTTTGAATATTTCTATAATATTCTTTATTTCTTCTTACACAATCTACAAGATGCTTTTTTGCGTCTTACATAATATGAATTTGCAAATACATATACTGTATAATATATTTTAAGTATATATTTTTCTTGATTTATTGCAAATTAAACTGAAATAGTTTTTACTATTTTTACTTATTTTTAAGAGCGGATAGATGGTTGGCACGCATGTGCGGACATACCAACCACTTCACCACACTTAGAATAGATAAATATTTTTTTAAAAAAATATAATTTATATAATAATTAAAATAAAAATTAGTCTGTAATCAATCTTAACAAAATACATGCACGGAAAAGTTCGCATGTGACTTCAACTAATGTACAATTAATATTTATGTCTGTACGCGTATTTGTAAAAAAAATTGAAATATGGCTCTTAGATGTTAAAAGTTTTTAAATGACTTTGTATAACAAAGTGCGAGAGATTTATTTTTATATACTTCTATTTTTTTTTCTTATTCATATTGTTTTATCTTATTATAATTTAGTCTTTCGCTCGGTTATTTTTCATTTTATTTATGTTCTCAAAATTTTGATAAACAATGAAAATAAATTTATGTATATATATACATATGATATAAAATTTATTTTTATTTAAAATATGATAAGAGATAAGATGAGATGTTAACATAAGTTATGTACATTTTAGAAAACAACAATAAAAAGATGATAAAAGTTATAGAAAAATCTATGGTCCTATTAATATTATTAAATAATAATTAGTATATACTTTATTCATTTAGTAAATATTGGTTTGAAAAGAAAAATTATTTAAAATTACGTTTTTTTAAAAAAAAATTCAATAAAAGTTGATTATTTTTTATTATTTTTAACATTTTATTCTTTAAATTATTTTTTATCATGATTTTATTTTATTTAAAATTGTATTATTTAATAATTTGTTTATTTAAAACTTGTTTAGATGTTATTAATATATTTTGTAAATTAATAACTTCCCGAAAAAAATATATCATACTTCAAGTATTATTAATAAATAGAATTTTTATTTTTCTATTAGATAATTTAGTATTATTTTTTTTTATATGAAGCTATAATATATATATATATATATATATTGTTAAAAAAATTCGTAATTATATTTTATGAAATTATTAATATATGTAAAAAATTGAAATTATAATAACTTTTATTTTCTGTTAATTTAAATTTGTTATAAATATAATCTAGTTTATTTATGTTTTAGTTTTATAATTTCTATAATTTTAATTCAATCAATCAAAATATTTCATTTATTTTAAAAAGTTTGACATGTTACATTTATATGTTATCAATTAAAAGCACTAATTTTAGATATAGTGTTGACAAATCAGCTATTTTCAATAATGTTATTTTTAATATGTAGTGGATGTGCTCAATTTTTCAAGTGGGCCTTTTCCTTCGTCTTCTCTTTCCTCTTATCGATTCTTCTTCTCTGATTTTTTTTTTCTCTCCAACCTCTGCCTCAAGCCCTTGGTTCTTCTTCTACTCGCTCTGGCCTCTTTCTCTCCATTACATTTCATTATACAAGTTTTTTCCTTCTTCACCGTGTTGGTAATTCCTTTTCCAATGCCTGTATTGATATCACTGTAAAGTATTTCAATTGGGAATCGAAACTCCCTGTTTTAGAGACCAACTGTTTAGGAAATCGAACCCGATTTAGAAAAGTTATCTCAGTTTCCCGAAAACCCTAATCTCAGGGGACCTTAACAATCGCAAAGTTTGGTCATTTTTGTCCATTGTTACGATCTATCAATCGATTTCTCCTGTTTGATTTACATCTGTTAAGCCTTTTTTAATTATGTTGAATCCCACTAAAACTAGCTCTTGTTGAAAATCTCTTATAACATTTCAAGATATTGTTTCTTCAATAAATCGATTTTCATGATCTCCTATTTGATTCTGTTGGAGTTTGAAAAAGTGCATTTGCTTTGCACTATTCAGTTGTCTTGAGTAGTTTCAGATTTGAGTTACAATTTGTGCAGCAACCAAAGATGAATAAGGTTAGAAAATTGTTGAACTTTCATGTTATTGAATGAATGTTTCTTCGATTCTCAGTTAGCTCCTGTTGATTCAACTGGAGTTTGATAAAAGTCACTGCTTTCCACTCTTTGGTTATCCTTTCCGATTTGAGTTACAATTTGTTACTGAATGTATTCAGATAAAGGTTTCTTCGGTATTGTTTCAGGATGGCGAATTCTCTGAGCTTAATCTCCACAAACTTGAACAGCTTAGTCCATAACCATCAATGTCACAGTTTCAGAACATTGGTCTCGCCGTCTAAATGTAAGAGGAGATTCGCAAGAAGCATTAGAGCTGTGCAAGAAACCGAAGGTCCAAGAAGACTAATCGACATCATAAGGACAGTTCCTGAAATCTCAAGAAGTTACTTCAAGAAGCCATCAAGAAGAACCCTTTTCGGAGGGATCTCGTTGTTAGGTGGGTTCTATGTGGCACAGACTATCTCTCTGTCTTTTGGAGCTTTGGGGGTGAACGATGTTATCGCTGCGGTTCTATGCGTTCTTTTAACAGAGTATGTGACAAGATTCTACTATAGCCGCACCACGGTGACGTTTCCCATCGCTCTGCTTAATAATTTCAAGATGGGTTTCACTTATGGTCTCTTCATTGATGCCTTCAAGCTTGCTAGCTAAGTTCTTTTTGCAAGTTTGCATGTTTTTGAGTAAATGTAAAGATATAAGTGCAGGTTTTGGAATACTATAAGAGCTCCATTTAGTGTTTGCGTTTGCTTTATTGTTTTCTAAATATTAAAACACAAATGTAGAAGTTAGCGTTTGAAGTTTGAATAATGAGAAGTGAACAATTTTTTGAAATGTCATGTCCAATGAAACAATCTCATTGAGTTCAGAGCTTGAAGCTACGGGCACTATGACGTTTATATGTGAGAAAATGGCCAATAGCCCTGTTTTTAGTTGTTGCTGCGTCTGCGACTGCGGCAGCATAAAACGACAGTAATCATAACAGTTACTAAAACTAAAGGATTTATCTCTCTGTCATCTTCTTTCATTTATCTGACGCTGTCACTCCTTCCGATTGACTCCATGGATGCCAAAAAAATCCAGTGGTTGCTGCGTCTCCTAATTACTACTGAAATTTCTAAAAACTGTCGCAGTGTCAACTGCAGGAAAAAGTTATTGTTCCTGATAATGGCCATTTTTGGTCGTGAACGCCGGCCGCTGCGGCTTTAAAAAGAACAGGGCAAAATATCAACCTCAACTAAACTTGTTGTACATTTTCTAATCTGAACTAATGAACCGTGCTATTTTCAACCCGAACCAACTTAAAATTTAGATTTACTACCTAAACTACTTACTAAATGCATTGACCACAATTTCGTCAACTGACTGTTAAAAATAGCTGATTTGAATAAACGGACATCCTATGCTGGCAACAAAGATTAGTTGGCATGCCTTAAAACGACATGCCATTTTCAACCCGAACTAATCTAAAATTCAAATTTAGGTATAATGATGAAGCATTATGATGTTTTAAGCACTGCATCAAATGAATAATAAGCAAAGTATGATAAGGGAAGATCAAATTTAATCCATAGTAAACAGATAAATAAACCAAGTTTAAGATTAATAACCAAACCCCATTTGTTTGAGTTTTGTTACTTTAACAATGATGAATTTGAATGAAACTTAGGGAAGGGTCTTATATGTACAGAAAACCCACCAGCAGCAGAATCAGTAATTTATAAATCAGAAACAACAACAATTAAAATGGCTTCTTTGATGAGAGGTTATCTTCTCTCATAGTCCTCTCCTCTCTCAAAGAGGAACGAATCCTTTCTTCAATGTTTCCTGCTTCTCTCTTTAAGCAATGTTCTTCCTGCTCTGTGCCCAGAACGGTTTCGCTGGTGTACGCTTCAAAGCCTTAACGCTGAACGGACTGTTCTTGCTCTGCGAAAAACCCACAACATTTCAAAAAAATCAGTAAACAATAACTTCAAAACTTCTTTTAGATTACCAAAAGATGTGAATCTACTCACCATTGAACAGCTTCCACCATTACAAACCGGGTACTCATGAGGACAACAGCTCGAGTTATCATCACAGCAAGTAGCAGCTTCAAGAGGGCAACATCCCCAACTGAAACAGTACTTACCATACTTAAAGAGACAACAACAAGTGTTGCTCTCAGGGCAAGAGTAGTATTTGTCACACTTGGTTGGTGGCTTTATCGGAGACGGCGGCGATGGGCCAGGGTTCGGTGGGTTCTGACCTTTCTTGATCGGGTACGAAGCCTCAATCGCGATTCCACACTTTCCCGTTGGCTCAGCGATGTTTCGTGCCATCCTTAAGTATCCACTCTCTCCCCAGCTTTTTCCCCATGAGTTTCGAACAATCCAATAGTCTTTTCCATCTTCGGTTCCGTATCCCACGGCTACAACTCCGTGGTCTAGCTCCGTCCCACAAAGTCCGTCAAATACACCCTGAAGGGAATATAGATGATTTAATAAATAGATCTGAATCATTTTTCGAAAAACGTGAAAGCAAAAATAAAAATATGTTATACATACCGAAGAATAGAGCTGGAAAGCACGTCCACCAGCTTCAATAGCGACACTAATAGGCTGATGAGCTAAAGCTTTCTTAAGAGCTGACTCACTGTTCTCAGGCACATCTTCGTATGAATCAATAGTGACAACTTTTGCGTTTTTCTGCAACACAAGAAAAACAGAAAAGTTTATCAATTTAATTTCAAAGACCATTGTTTTCATTTCATAACCAAAGAAGCTGAAACTAATTAACTAACCCTGTTCTGATCACAACGGCCATCAACAGCTTTGTATGGATAATCTTCCTCGGTATCAATACCGCCGTTTTTGATGATGAACTCAAACGCATAATCCATCAAACCTCCATTACATCCTTGGTTATAGGATGTATCACAATCAACTAGCTCTTGTTCAGACAAAGAGATTAAATCTCCTGTCACAATCTTGTTTATTCCTTCCACAGCTCCGATGGTTGAAAATGCCCAACAACTCCCTAAAAAACAAGTTTAGTTCAATCAAATTAATCAATTAGCCCCACCACTTTCTTTAGTTCTTGAAAGCAAAAAAAAGTTAACATCGTATGGGTCCATTAGCTTAAATTGGTCACGCCACTGCCATCCCCACTTTAACGTTTAGAGCTCACAAGGACCCACCAACTTTATAATCAATTCAAATATTTTACTTTTGTTGTATTAACAAAACACACAAGAATTATTAAAGAGTTAAAATTTTCTCAAAATTTGACCATAATTAATTTCATATCTAAATAGATTTACTCATTTTTGAAACGTACACCTAAAAGTCACGACTAGAGAACATAACCTCATCATTCCCTAGAAGAACAATTATCAGGGGTAAAGTTGTCTTTTTATAGAATATCATAGACAACTGATTCATGGTAAAAAAGCTTGGAAATAATCATTTTTAGATTCGATTTTTAAAATGGTTGGAGATCGGGAAAAATAAGCTTACCGCAGCTTCCCTGATCTTTAACTTCGGCGACGGCACCTTCTTTTCTCCAGTCAACGGAATCGGGAAGCGCGTCACCAACACGCGGCCGATACCGATCGCTGGTTTTGAGGACTCTTTTGCTCGGTTTGGCACCGAGATAGATAGATCGGTATTCATCGTTGGTTAGATCAGCGAACCGGGTTAAACCGAGTTTGTAACTGAGGTTTTTGGTGTTGTGTTCATCGATGAAACGAAGATTGTCTTTGAAGATCTCGAATCTATTGTCTCCCCCGAGAAGGCCGTTCTGAGTTTTCTTTCCGTGTTTTACCATCCACGCCTCGTAGATTTTCGCAACCTCGGCGTCGCTCCGGCCGTTGACGGCGGAGATGTGGTGTTGTTCGTCGTATGAGATGATCGACATGTCGACGGCGAACGAAACGCCGATCATCATCGCTAGGAGATGGATAGTTATCTTAACGAATCCCATTTTTTGAGTTTTATGAGATAGAAGAAGATGAAGAAGATGGTTGTTTGATTGACGAAGAGATTGATGAGGGTGTATATAAAGGAGAAATTCAGTAAAGCGTCATTATTAATTATTAATTACTTTTGTCCACTTTTCAAAAATAATTGAGAAAAAATATGGGCTAAAATGTACAAATTTGATAAAACAGATTATTTTTCAAATAATAAAAATGACATCAAGATCAAAGAACTAGTATGTAGAATTTTTCATGTATCTTTTCTAAATTCCATTCCATTAATTATAATTTTCAATACTTCGAATAATTAAAAAAACACATTTCAAAACTTTCCTGAATTCCATTCCCTTAATTGTAATTTTTAATACTTCCAAAATATATAACAAAAACACTTTTCAAAACGTGAAAATTGATAAAACATAAAATGAATGGCAAGAAAATTAGAGAATTGAATTGGACAAAGACATGTATCATTGTTGATTACTATTAAATAATTCCGTCAACTATTATTCATTTAAAACAAAAAATAGTGCTGGGGTTGGTGGAGTCAATTAAAAGAAAAGAGTGATGGAAATAAATAAATGAGAACTAGTGGGGTGAAAATGGAAATGTAAAAACTCTTGAGGGTCAATTATTGTTGGTTAAGACAAAATGGGGGAAAGGACAACTAAGAAGTGCCAGGTGGATGAGGTTGTGATTGGGGGGAGAGATAAACTGTAATATATCAAAAGTCCAAGCAAATAGGTAGGAGCACGTGAAGTTATCGTTAAATCTCACGCGCTAGCGCGTGGATAAGATTTGTAAAACAAGATTATCTTTTATTTTCCAACAACAAGATTCTTTTGATAGTGTAACAAAGATACTGTGGATTTCATTATGATACCGAGAAAAGTTTGTTCACATTGTGATCTCTGTTATTATGATTTCTTGTGAAAATTAAACACGCAATTCTTTTTTAACATACATCGAATTTTATTTTTTTAAAATATACTAATAATTTGTTTGTACAATGTATTCTTTATTTTACAGTATACAATGTACCTAAAATGTTGTAGAAAATAACATTTTAATTATACCATACAAATATTAGAGGTGATTTAAAGTCCAAAAAAAATGTATTAGAGGTGATTTTCCTCCTTCCTAAATATAAACGAAGGAAAATACGACATGTGGATTGGTGTATTGCTAATAATCTTTTCCCGTGTGAATAACAATCTTATCTTTCTTTAATAAGAAACTATAAAAAAGTATTACAGATTGGAGTGCATATCTTGACAATTTTAGTATTTACAACAATTGTATTCTTATAAAGTGCTTTCGATTTTTTTTAAAAAAAATTAGATGATTTTTTAAAATTAATACAAAAATTAATTATTTTAACTATTTATATTTTGTATATTATTTTTAATTAATTGAATTGTGTTAGAATTGATGTTTTATTTGAGAAAAATAAAAATAAAATAACTTATTAATTTATATGTAAAATTTTAAACATTATATATATATAAAACAAAAAAATATATTTTAGTGAATATGTTCCGACAAAAAAAATATTTTAATGTATAACATTAATATGAAAAAATATATATATATATTTGTTGAGATTACTTTTAGCGCGCATAATCTTAAGGTGATACGTAATTATTAAACTTTATTAAAGCGTTGATATTTGCCCACTAAGCCTGCTACCAATGGACTGTTCCTGGTCAAATGGCATGTTTATCGAGTTAGGCGTGCTGTACTAAGCTGCATATATCCACGACGCATTGCACGAATGAAACCGGACGAGAAAGACTGGATATAAAAAAAAGTCTAAAGCCAAAGAAAAGAGGATCAGACTTTTGGAACTCCGAGGGGCTATGGGACAGATCCAAAGAGAATAAGAGGCTCCAAATAGAGGAGGAGGGGAAAACCTCTGACCTTCGCTTCACCAGAGCTCGCCCACATCCCGGTGCTTACAGCCAGACTAAAGAGAAACGCTCACTATTTCCCGGAGGAAATGCCTTCCAAGATAAGCATCTTCCTAACTTCCCTCTCCCGATTATGTACCGTTATGGATGCAGAAATCCATACTAAGAAATATATGTGTTTTTGTAAGAAAAAGATTTTAGGAGAATTAAGGGTTACATTCTCTCGAACAGATTAACAATATACGCAAGTATTAACCAAAATAAATACTTGATATTAATCGGGTGAATAAAATGGTTACAGAATTTCTCTGGAAGAGATGAAGTAAAAAGAGCTCGAAGAGCGATTACAGAGTATCGAAAAGTGTGAAAGAGATATCCCCCTAAACTAAGTAGCTTGCCTCCTTTATATAGTTCGCCTCGTCGAGCTTCAACCTCCAGTGCGTATCTTGGCCACGTGCAACAACCTCTCCCGAAAATCTCGAGCTCATTTGAACTGGTGGGAATATGCTTCGACTTGGTCTAGATCCTTCCTTGTTTCTCGGGATTTTACTCGACAATGGAACATTTCATGTTCATGCGTGGACCATTGCGAAGAACTGAGCCTGGGCCGTATGAACGAGGCCCAGTTAATTTGTGCTTAGTTTTGGGACTTGCTTGCTGAGCTTGAGTGGGCCAGATTTACTGTGCGAAATCCAGCTCCAACAATTGTCCCCACACCCCATTAATGACAATGAGTTTGAGTTTTAATGGGAGGCGAGTTGTTATTATTTTTCTTTTAAAAGACTTCGTATCTAGCACGCTGACGTCATTAGGTGACCATTCGAGATCAATGGCTCAGACTTGGAAAAATGAAAGGTCCATTTGATCGTACGGTTCAGGGTCGACCTCAAAGTTGCTGCCTGAACGATAAAATAGGTTTGTTATTATTTTGTTGAGATGGACGGTCGAGATTAAATGTAAATCTTATCATTTACTTCTATTTCGGCGATCGAGCTTTTCGGGAGCAAATGCAGCCCTCAAGATAGTGGGTACTACAGCTTCTGTATGCTCATCTTCTGAGGTTACACCACACTAGCAGCCGACGCCGAACTAGGAGTTGCTTCTGATCTCAGATGCCTGATACGCTCGGCAAGAGTCACATCATCATCATAAAAAAACTCTCCCTTTGCCTTTTGGGTCGAAGGATGACGATGCCATTTCAAATTGAAAATCGAGGAAGGAAGAAATTGACGAAATAAAGCAGAATATCGGAAAAACTAGAAGTAATCGCTTCATCTTTGAGCTATCAATAAAAGACTTTATTTTCCAAACCCACAACTGTTAATCACACTCTAGTGATAATTTTTTGGTTCAACATCACGATCAACCAAATTTCTCAGAACTTTTTTTTTTGCTAAATAAATTCCTCATAATATAATTTTTTACCTAAAATATAAATATAAACAAGATTTGAGAATATTTTTTTTTTAGGGGGGGGGGGGGTCAAATGTGAGAAAATTATGATGTGAGAGTATCATATACTATAAGGTTTAAGAGTTTTATGTCTTGATTGATATTTTGATATTCCGCAAAAAAAGATTGAACTAACGGTGGAATTTAAATGTATGTTTAGAAACTGAATATATGTTCCTTCTGTTTCGTTAAATTTAGATGATTTATAAATATACTGAAAAACATTTCATATTATTAAATGATCAAATCATTTTTCCAATGTATCAAAATTTTCTTCTTGGCACTTGACATTTGAGGAATACATACGTAGATTCATTTGCGGAAAAAGGTTTCAAGTTTAGCTTTCGAAGATGCAAATAGAGTAGAGCATCATGTTCGTGTGACGTCAATATCCAGCAACAACGTGTTTGCGTAAATGCCTTATTCCCAACTTGTAGAAACAATTTACATAATTTATTAGTATTCCCATAAATTTTCATCATCTAACGAAAGCCCCCTGTAATTTTTTTTATCAATAAACACAAGAAGAAAATATTTATATGATTGAGAAGAAAATATTTATATGATTGAGAAGAAAATCACATTCATCCCCCTTTCCACCGCAAGATCCACCATATAATAACAAAAAACAATAAACGTGAGAATTATATGGTTATTTTTATAAAAAAACTAAAAAAATAATTATATCTTATCATCATCATAAATAAACTCCACTTGCAATATTTGTTTGATAACTAAAAGAATGCTTCCGCACTATGGCAAATATTAGATTAAAACAAGAAAACAAAGTATCTGATAATGTACAAGCCTCACATTTCTCTGATTTTCTTTTCATTATATTGCATATATATATATATATATCTGTCAGATCTAAAGAGATATGTAAAACTGGAAACTTACAAGTGGTTATCTTTCTTTTTGTGTTCAAATTTTTGGACACGTTCATGCCCATCTATTATTTATTCATATGAGCCTACAAATTGCAGATACAAATTGCAAATTTTTGGGACACGTTCATGCCCATCTATTATTTAGTTGCGTGTTATAAATCACAAATCATGTGCAACGACTAACGAGTCGCTTTCAAGTTGCCAACGAGTGGGAAAATAACTTGATATACCTCATCTTGAAGAATATATTTAAAGAATGCATTTATGGATACAAAAACTAATGTAAAGAAAGTAACATAAAGAAAAAATACAAAGCAGAAAACTAAAACTGACACAAAATTTAATTCAACACACAAATCGATCTAATCTAGAAATTATAACATCCACCAACCAATAAACCTTCTATTTTTTCAAAGATCCAAAGAATTACCGAACAGATCCCCGACCTTCCTAACGGTAAACAAATTATTCCACAAAACTTATCTTTTGACTTTAGAAATTAAAGCTTCAATATCCACCAAGACAGAAACCAGAGATTTTTTGAGAACGACGGAGTCGAACAACCTTCCAAAAGCACGATTAAAAACATCTAGAAAGAAACTTGAGAAGAAATCCCAAATCGATCCGTAAGGAAACGCAATGGAGCGAATGGTCCAACCCGAATAACACCAAACTCCAAGGAAGAAGAACGGTGAAAGCTTGACACAGAGAGGACCCGAACCAGTCTTCGAAGAAATAGAGGGAAGACACGCCAGCAGGCATACGAAGCAAGCCACCGGAAAAGACAAATGTAGCCTACAATTCTAGGAAAAACCCTAATAGATCTGGTCATATCTGACTATTAAACTCATAAAATCGAAATCATACTCAAAGAATAAAAAACCTACGTTAGTCAGAAAGAAAAAAATAAAGCAAAAAAAAAGAAGCTAATGCTAACCACCGGAAAAAAATTCAGGCGGAGGCTACTTTGAAGAAGAGAGAGAAAAAAGCATTAGGGCGAACCCCGAATTTGGTTTATATTGACCTTACATCTGTATCTATAATAATACTTCATTCAAATACAAGAGTAACTATAAATGTAAAACACTAAAATACGACACCACAAGATGAACGATATAAGATGATTAGAATTACTTTTTAAAAACAAACAAAAAATAGCAGATAAACTTTTACACAATTATCTTCATACTTAATAGTGTAAAATAATCTAAACAAGGTCCTTTCGTAAAATAAAAATCTAAACAATGTTGATAAATATTTTTACTTTGTCTCCACTAGGATTATTTTAGGTTGAATTTGATAAGTAACCAAATGTTAAAAAAATTATAATTTAAAAACTAACTAAATGTTTAGAGAGATAAGAAGAGATAGAAAAAGATAATAGTTAGTTTTTAAATTATAGTTTTGTTTGTTATAAAACCAAAGTTTCCATTATTTTATAAGATTATTTAGTGAATAACTAAAAATAATTATTATTCAGAAACTAACAAAATTATTTATTTATCTCTCCATATCTCTTTTTTAAAAATTGTCTAGTTTGTAAATTATAATTTTTTTCGCCAAATTCACCTTATTTTTTTTTTTATCATAATAAGATTTGATTCTGTATAACCATTGAATTTGTGCTTATCTCTCCTAAACATATGGCTAAGAGGAATAAAATGACGATATTGTCCTCTCAAGAACGACTCTGTCACTGTAGAAATCTCTAACTTCTTGTTGTCCTTCGTCGCTGGGTTTTGAGGTTCCGATGGGAGACCCTCCGTGCCCTCCGCCACCAATTCCTCCCGATCTGCTCATCCTAAATCCCTCATCTTCATACTGTCCATCCATCCCATCTTCTCCTCCTTATCCTTCAGATATGATTATGCAGGAAACGGTTCTTTCTTTCGCCACCTCCTCCCACCTTCGTCTTCAATTCAGTTTCGTTACCAAAGTCTGGAATTCTGGGTGATGCTCCCTCTTCCTCCTCTTTGGGTATTTCAGATTCTACACCGGTGGACCAACCAGCAATTGTCTCTGATGAAATTTTGGATTCAAATGCAAACCTAATAAATCGATCTTCTCCTTCACATCCTGTCTCGGCTTCAAAGGCTGTAGCCGCGGATTTTAACTGGCAAAGGGGCTTCAAAAGACTTGTAAAATCCAAACTTCTACGGTCTCTGTTACCTTCTCTGTTCCTAGGGTTAACATTCCCATTTTGGTGTTTGAAAGAGGTGCCCAACAGCACTCATATTGCATAGTGGGAATTTTCTATGGAAATCCTCAATCTTATAGAAAGATTTGGGGAGTTCTAATTTTTTTTTGATTTGTTATCAAGCGAAGTCACTGTCTGTGAGGAGACAGAAAATCAGGACAAAGTTATTCACCAGCCTTCCTCTCATCCGCCATATTTCGCATCTTCTCCCTCATCCTCAGGATCTACCAAGCCAAAGTGGAAGAAGTGAAAATGGTCAAAGAATTCACCGGTCTCCGGTGGTGATTTCCCTCTGTCAACAAGGGGTCGCCACCTCCACTGAAATCTTTTATGTGTGATACCTTTTTTTGGAACGTGTGGGGTCTAAATGAAATTTCGAAGCATCGTCTCCTAGCAAATTGGATAAATAGTAAACCAATTTCTTTAGGAGCTCTTTTGGAGAAACATGTTAAAGAATCAAATAAGATCATCTTTTGTCTTCGATCGGCCCGGTTGGACAGCTATTTCTAATTAATAATTTTCGGCTTTGGGGAAGATTTGGATAGTATTCAAATAGCCGATTACTATCTACCCTCTTTTTTTGGACAAGCAGTCAATTACATGCGATGTTACTTTAGAAGATGGTATTTCTTTTATCTACTCAGCAATATATGCTTTAAATGATCTAGATGAGAGGAAGGAGTTGTGGCTCTCGCTGCAGGATTCCTACATCTCTTTCAATCTGTCAAACCGGCCATGGATGGTAAATGGTGATTTTAATGAGATTTTGTTGCCTCAAGAAACCTTCAATCCTTTTCTCACGAGTTCTGCAGCGGCTATGAGGGGATTTGGTGATTGTTTGTCAAACCTGGGTATCTTTGATTTGCCATCGCAATTCACATGGTTAAATAAAAGACCTTCAGCGCCTATAGAAAAGAAGTTGGATCAGTGTCTTATAACTGATAAATGGTTGATGCTCTTCCCATCTTCTCATTGCATCTTCGAACCTCCGGACTTCTCAGACCATACACCTTGTCACATCAAGCTTCTTACGCCACCTCCGGCCTTTGGAAACCGGCTGTTTAAGTTTTATAATTTTGTGGCAAAGCTTCCTTCTTTCCTTTGTTGTGTGAAAGATGCGTGGGAGGGGGCAGGTTCTGTAGCTCTTAATCTCAAGTCTTTTGGCTTCAAACTAAAATCTCTGAAGCAGCCTCTGAAATCTATTTCCAAGGAGGAATTCAGTTCGCTGGAAGCTCGGGTGCAGGAAGCCTGTTTGATTTTGCAGCAGCTTCAGCTTCAGTTTTAAATGATCTATCTTCTGTAAATGTCTTGGTGGAGCAAGAAGCTAGAGAAAAGTAGATGTTATTGCGTCAAGGGCCGAAGAGAGTTTTTCCAGACAGAGGACTCGGATTAAATGGTTGGGTGATAGGGATTTGGATACCCGGTTCTATCATATGGTTACAACAGCTAGAAATGCTTCCAATGCTATAAAGTATCTTATTCAAGCAGATGGAACCAAAACCTCTTCTTTTCAGCAGGTTCATTTACTGGCGTAAGATTATTTTGCTGGAATTTATAATAACCGGAAAGGAATTTATTCCCCATTTCTACCACTATATCTAGATAGGCTAATAGATGCTCGTAGCTCAGATTCACAACAACTGATGTTTACAGGCTTTTTTTCCACATAGCTAATTAAATCCTCTTTATTCAAGATGCCTTTAAACAAGACTTCAGGTCCAGATGGTTTTCCAGTTGAGTTCTACAAAGCTAGCTGGGAAATTCTGGGTAGCAAGGTTATTATTGGGGTCCAGGATTTATTCAAAACAGCTTTTATGCCAAGATCTCTAAATGCCACCTCTCTTGTTCAAATTCCGAAAAGGCGAGGGGCAGATGACCTGAAAGATTTCAGACCAATCTCATGTTTAAATACAGTACACAAGCTCATTACCCGCTTGATTTCTGATCGGCTGAAGAAGGTTCTGCCTCAGATCATTCTGCCCAATCAAACAGCGTTTGTTAAAGATCGACTTCTTCTGGAAAATGTTCTCTTCGTAGCTGAGGTCATACAGGGATATCTGATGTTAAGGTTTTGAATCCTTAGATAAATCCTCAAACACACATGTCATTGTAGCACTTGAGATGTCAATCCACTTGGAAAGTTAATGACAATTGAGATATAGAGAACTATGCTAAGCTAAGCAAATATGGAATGGGTTTTGATTTCTAACAACCTAATGACAAACAAGAGAGAAAAAGAAAGAAATTAAAGAGCAGTAATGGCAAAGAGAAACAGAGCAAAAACAGAGTAAAAGCTTAACTTCAAAGATTGAAAGATGGTTCAAGATCAAAGAAATGTTGATAGGGTGATTCATGTTCATGTCTAGGGTGATCAAAACAAGCAATTCTAAACACTCAACCTTAGGTAAGGAACACTAATAAAGACTAATCCAATCTCTTGACACTAATCCTTTTGTCTTATCACATTTCAAACCCACTTTTGGTGGTGTATCTATGACAAACAACCATTTAAATCAAGTTCCATACAACCAATTAGCATGCTAGACATCTAATCTCTTAGGCTAGGTTTACTAGTCTCTTATATAATAGATCAAACATCAACTCACATTCTCATGCATAATCAATATTTAAAGACAATTTACAACCAATGTGGTACTAAGCAATAAGCACATTCAAGCAAGAAATGATAGATGCAAAGACTCATGATTATCTAAACACCATCTTCAAGCATTGAACTTCATTCAGGCATTTCATCAAACACCTAGTGTGCATGTAAAAATCTAAGATCAACTTCTCCAACAAAGAGGTACTAAGCATTAAGCACAATTATATAAGAAAGAAAATGAGATGATCTAAGCCCTAATCACCCTAAATAATCACTAAAATCACCCCACCCTAATCTCAAATCTAAAGCAAACTACTCACTAGTCATGGTGAAAACCATCAAATCTATAAAGAAAAGATAGTTAATCATGATTAGGATAACAAAATAGTAACGGAAATGCAAAATATTATTGAAATAAACTAAGATTCAAAAACAAAATTATTCAAAAGAGAAGAACAAAAGAAGAACTGCTGGATAAAGAGATGTTTCCAAAAATTAGGAATTTTAAGTATTTACAGGAGTCTAAGCGGAGTGGCAAAATTGTAAATAAGCTGTCTTCAGTCTGGGTCAGCATCGATCATCCATGACCTATGTGGATGACCGATGTGAATGGCATCGGTCAGACTTGCTCGATGTACCCGATCGATGTAAGTTGAGAGGTTTCATAAACACTTCTGTAACTTTCTAACCGCTCATCGGAATGACCTCAAACCAATTCCTCCAGAAAGATAACTCACTTGGCTACAACCTTTACGAAGAGTTCAGAAGCTGAATCAAGACGGAAACCTTTCGTCCAGGCTGATCTTCAAGTCGGTCAAGATGATCGGTGGAAACTTCAGATGGACATGTGCTGACTTTATTAGCCATAACTCTTCAAACACCGACAGGAATGGCTCGAAACAAACACCAAACACAAACTAACTCAAGTGGCTACAAAGTTGTTTAAGATCTCCGAGGCCAAATCGGAATGCAAATACCTCATCTGAGCTAATCTTCAATCGATATGGTCCTTCGGTTGCTTGACATCGGTCAGCTGATGACCGATGTGCCTGACCGATGTGAATCTTCAAACTCTCAGGTGGATCACATCGGTCAGTCTTGACCGTTGCTGTTGATCGATATGAATCTTCAAACTCTCGGGTGGATCACATCGGTCAGTCTTGACTGATGCTGTTGATCGATGTGGATGAGCGGTTTCACGAAAACTTCTGTAACATTCTAACTGCTGATGAGAATGACCTGAAACCAACTCCAGACGCACGATAACTCCCGGGGCTACAACATTGATGACTGTAGAATCTGAATTGGGTTAGAGATGGTTTGTCCGAGCTGGTTTTGTCAGGTGAAGTTTCTGGCCGCTTCAATCAAGGTGCACCTTCTTCTTGGGTCTTTTCATGCCTTGTGCTGCATCCACCATCATCTCCCATGCTCTTTGTAGTCTCCAAACTCTCCAAACATACCTGCCAAACTCCTCAAATGTACAAAACATGTAATGCACACCCTAAATCTACACTAAGTCCTAATTTAATGCAAATGGGATAAAAACAAGCAAAAATGCATGTTTAACGACTATAAATCAATGAAAAATGTATGCTAATATGGTGTAAATAATGAGTATATCACTGTCATCGACTAAATCTTTCTCCTAGAATTACAATGAAGAATGATATTGCGAAAGATTTTGACTCCATGCGCTGGGATATTATTCTCACATGTCTCTCGGCTTATCGTGTCCCAGATTTATTCATCTCGTAGGTAAAAAGCTGCATCTCCACCCCTTCTTTCTCGGCTAGTATTAACGGCACAACGTTAGGATACTTCGTAGGAAAGACAGGTCTACGTCAAGAGATTTCTCTTTCCCATATCCTGTTTGTCTTGGCCATGAATGTATTGTCTTTAATGTTGAACAAGGCGGCAAATGATGGAATTTTCAACTACCACCCTGGCTGTGATAATTTGAAATTGACTCATCAGTATTTCGCAGATGATTTATTGATTTTTGTTGAAGGCTCGTTTCAGTCAGTGGCTGGAGTTTTCACGGTTCTTTCTCAATTTGAAAAGATGTCTGGTTTGGCGATAAACATCAGCAAAACTCCGTTGTTCTCCTCAGGTTTGTCAGATGCGGTCTTGGATCAGTTAGAAAACCGGTTTTCTCAACTGTCGGGTACTCTCCCAGTTCGCTACTTGGGTTTGCCTTTGTGTTCAAAGAAGCTTTCCATCTATGACTGCAATCCTCTTATATCAAAGATCAGAATGAAGTTAAATGGGTGGACGTATAAACATTTAAGTCTTGCTGGTCGGTTAAGGCTAATATCCACAAGCATATCAGGAATTATTGGTTTTTGGACCCAAGCTTTCTTCTTACGAAAGACGGTAATTCGGATAATTAACTCTCTTTGTGGTTCCTTTCTCTGGCATGGGAATCTAAACTTTTTATCTGGTGCTCGTGTAGCATGGGCTGATCTTGCTTACCCAAAGGATGATGGCGGTCTGGGTTTACGATGTGTTTTTTCTTGGAACAACACTTGTGGGTTGAAGCTTATTTGGATACTATTTTTCAGGGCGGGTTCTATTTGGGGGGCATGGATGAGACATTGTTATATGTCTCGTCACTGTTTCTGGTCTTTAAATGAAAACAACCCGCCTTATTCTTGGATGTTCCAAAAGGTTTTGAAATTTCGTGTGAAGGCGGTTTCTTTCCTACGTATAATTGTCAGAAATGGAGAGGATACTTACTTCTTGTGGGATCCTTAGACTCCCTTTGGCTCTTTGATTCATTACTTAGGTCCTCAAGGTTCGTCGAGTATGGGAATCCCGATCAACGCCCTAGTTAATGAGTTCATTTCCTCTGATGGGTGGTCTCTTCCTCCGGCTCGATCTGATTGCCAGGTTAATGTTTGGGCCTACATCTGCTCCCTCAATAAGAGTGTGGAAACAGACTATCCTGTTTGGCATGTTGGCGATGCGATTTTTCTTTCCTTCGTCTCAAAGGAAATATGGGAAAAAATCTGCACCGTCAAGCCGGTAATGTCATGGAGTTCTCTTATCTGGCACAAAGTGGCTATCCCAAAGCATGCAACAACGACTTGGGTCGTTCATCTTGATAGGAATCCAACTCTAAACCGTCTTTTGTTGTGGGGTTTAGACGTAGAAAGTACTTATCTTCTCTGTGGTCAGGGTGAAGAGTCACGGGATCATTTATTTTTTCAGTGTTTTTATTCGCAGGACCTTTGGATTGGAATAATGCATAAGCTGCACTTCACAAAATTTCTCATGTCATGGGTGGAAATTATAGTTTGGCTTCCGACTACCTCTTCCTCATCCGACAGATCTCTAGCAATGCTCCAAGGATGGCAGGCCTGCATCTGTGAGATTTGGCGTGAGAGAAATCGGAGGTTCCACGATGGTATTACTCTTCCACCTCAATTAGTTCTTCACATGATTGTAACTGTGATAAAAAACAAAACTATGGCGTTGGAAAACATGGGCTTTAGTAAAGGTGACTCCCTCGGCAGAATCTGGTCTTCAGGTTTCTAAGGGGGATATTTTATCTTCACTGAGTTTCCTTTTGAGATATTGTTTGTCTCCTTCCTACTCATCTTCTCCCCTCTGTAATTATGTGCGTTTGTTTTTAGACTGTCTTTTACCTTTTTGGTATATTCAGCATGTAATTTATTTTAATTTTAATGAAGGCTCTTTAACAAAAAAAATGACGATATCCTATGAAGCAATATTTCTTTCCATCATCAAGACGAACTTCATTGGTATCAAAATTACAAGAATGACACGTCGAGCCCATGTACATTCCAACTAGATAAGATACCAAGTTCTAGATAATAACTAATAGTCCATAATAAAGCAACACACATAGAAAATATCTTATTTTTTGAAATATCAAAAGTTGACACACTTTCAAACCACGAGTCTTTTAATTCTTCGATAAGGGGTTGGAGATATATATCAATATCATTACATGGCATGTGTTTTCTTAGAATGATCATAAAATGATCATTCAAGTCTGCTTCATCGACATCTATGGGGGGAGGTTGTCAGGAACTAAAATCACATATCAAATACTACAAATTATACTTATTTTACCAAACATGTTAAAACCACCAGTTACTAAATCTAGCCTAATATTTTTTAGTTATGATGCAAACTCATGAAACTGTTGGTTGAATGTCTCCCAAGCCAATTCATTTCGAACATGTCTTAGTTACCATTTTTATTCTCAGAATCAGCATGCCACATCATATGTTCAACAGTATGTGATGACATAAACAAACGGTGCAAGCATAGTTTAAGAGGAAAATACCTAAGAATTTTTGTAGCTTGTTGTTTCTTTCTCTTCTTCTTCTTCTCCAATGCATCATCAACTATTTCTGATGATTTACACTTTGAATTATCACCAACTCTACATGTCTTTTTAGATGCGTCTTCTCCCCAATACAACATGCAGTCATTAGGACACATGAATTATCTCATAACTCAACCGTAGCTTGCAAATTTTTTTCTTCACATCATTAAATGAATCTGAAAATTTTTCATGCTCAAAAGCTTCTTTCAGAAGATTGATAATCATAGACATACCTCTATCACTTCTTCTAAAAATACACTTGATGTTATGATGCAAACTCATGAAACTGTTTTGAATGTCTCCCAAGCCAATTCATTTCGAAGATGTCTTAGTTTACCATTTTTATTCTCAGAATCAGCATGCCACATCATATGTTCAACAGTATGTGATGGCATAAACAAACGGTGCAAGCATAGTTTAAGAGGAAAATGCCTAAAGATTTTTGCAGCTTGTTGCTTCTTTCTTTTCTTCTTCTTCTCCAATGCATCATCAACTATTTCTGATGTTTTACACTTTGAATTTTCACCAACTCTACATGTCTTTTTAGATGTGTCTTCTCCCCAATACAACATGCAGTCATTAGGACACATGAATTGTCTCATAACTCAACTGTAGCTTGCGAATTATTTTCTTTACATCATTAAATGAATCTGAAAATTTTGCATGCTGAAAAGCTTCTTTCAGGAGATTGATAATCATAGACATACCTCTATCACTTTTTCTAAAAATACACTTGATGTGATATAGCTTGGTCATAAATGATAACTTTCTGAATGACTGACATCCTTCATACAAGCTTGATTACAATCAGATAATAGCTCATCCAATGCCTTCTTTTGTTTTAAAGGATCCTCATGTATATAAGCATATTCATTTGGCCCTGTATTCATTTGGCCCTGAATCTATGTTTGGATGATCTGAATTCATTCTTGGAAATACATCAGCAAGGAAATTCATAGTTGAGTTATTAATTTGATCTACATTTGGTTGATGATCTAAACTAACCGCTGCTGTATGATCTTCTAAGTCTTCAGTATGTAGATACCAATTCGTATATGTGTGTAGAAAGCCATGGCACATTAAGTCACTTTCAATATCAACTCTGCACTTGTATTTGACAATGTAACAATATTGACATGGATATTTCAGCACGTCTGTTTAATTTTACCAAAGGCAAAATCTAAAAGCTCTATGAATTCAGTTATATAATTTTGAGTCAAACAAGATTTTGTTATCCATATCCACCTAAACACTCCCGTGAGCTTCAGAGATTCAAACAAATTAATTTAACCATGAAAATTCTGAATACAGAAACAACAAGCAACAAACAGTAACATGACCATTTTACCAAAAGCTCAAGCACAAGCAAATGAACTTAATTTTCTTGGTAATGAACAGATACGAAACCTCTTGGAGCTCTAGTTTCTCATTTTTCATTGCTCATTGTACTAAAAGCTTAAGCACAAGCAAATGAATTAAAATTTCTAGGTGATGATCATATAGGAAACATAACTAAAAACTCAAGCACAAGCAGAATTTGCAGATACAATTCAAAATTAAACTATTGAATAGTATTTGTACCTGTGTGTGGAGCGACAACAACGATGTGACAAGTGATTATTTAACGGTGTGAAGAGCGATGGCGATGGTGTGAAGAATGACAGTGATTCGCGATTCCCTTCACAGTGGTAGATCTCCTCTTATACCTTTGAATTTAACTCAAAATAGAGAAGATAAGACGAATTTTGTGTAGATAGATGAATCAGTGATAAATAATTTATTCGAAGACTGAACAAATGACAAAAGCAACTTTCAGGAAAAAAATCATTAATTTTCTCGTAAAGTTCTGGAAAAAAACTTCACTTAGAAATGGATTTTTTCATGAGTTATTTACGCCTACAAGCACTTTTAGTAGTTTCTCTTACATAATGGATACTTCTTGCGTATGAGGCACTTTCCAGCCATTACATATGTACTCTAAGCCAGCCATTCTAACGACAATACACAACACATTGAAAGGTAGTCTGGAATGGGAAGCGCGAGTAAATGTGTACTCTAAGCCATGTCCGGGAAGCTCATCCACGCATTGTTGTCCCGGCAACTGCTGACCAATAAGAAGTACGAGTTATGGATGGTCTTCGGTGGACAACCATTCTGGTTTTCCCTTCTGAAGTTCGGGACTTTGACGGGATTGGGTTGTGGAGAGTTCCCTAAGGGATACCATCCAGAATTTCTTCCGCTTGACCATAAATGGAAGCCAAATAAAGCATGAAGGAAGATTATATCTGAAGTCTCGACAACAACGGTTTCTGATTTGGTGTTTATTTTGAAGAATGATTTGGAGATGCCGCAGACAACTTGCACTTATCTGCATAGTAGATGGGGTCCTCATCGCTAACACGCAGGCGCATCGTCCTAGTCCCCGATATGTAGGGATGGTAGATGATGTTGAAAGTTTTTTGGAATTTTGATGGGGGCGAAGTCATTCTACCGTGCTATAGGGACAATGACACCTAAGGTGACTACTCGGAACAATCATGAGAGGGTTGTGGCGACATTCAGACGTCAACTAAGCTTTGGGTTAATGCGTGTTTGCGCTCGCTCTACAGCTATTGGCGTTTGAGCTTTTACCTGGGCGGCTTGAGAAGCTAAAGTATCCCAGATAGCACCCCACCCTGCTCAAGCATCTAGATGATTGAATTCCAAAACATTGGTCTTTGAGCTTGGAGGCAGTGCTAATCGCGGAAGCGGAGATAAGTGTAAGTCTTTGAGGTATTTTGTATATCCCTGACAGTTTGATTGTATGATAAGTTTTGTTAACTGGAAACGTCTCTACCATTTGCAGCTGAAGGTATGTCCACTGCTTGAAGTACAACTAGGGGAGGATGAAGGATGGGGGAAATGGGATGACGAAAGCAAGGATAGCCGGCTGAAATACCTGTTGGGGAAGATTAATGGCAAGCATAGGTTCAGTAAACAAGAATGGCCAGGAGGAGATGCTAGTTTCTCGTTGAAGGAGGTTATCGCTAAATCGAATAAATTGGAGCACGCTAAACACATTTTGGACTGTAATTAGGTAGTTGGCAAGAAGAAGAATTCACAGGCATCTCCCGCGCAGACTAAGAATGTATCAAGTAAGAAGAAGAAGAAGGTGGCGGGAGATGTACCAGCTGTGGCACCCACCAACAACGACGCTCCACCAAGTCTCACAGAAATTTCTTCAGCTTTAAAGATATTCACAGAAATGGGTATCATGCTGAGACTAAGACTAAAATTGGTATTGAATATATATGCATTAAAACGGAGAAAGAACATCAGTTGGAAGAATTACCAATGATGTCCTCCGGATTATATTGCACAAAGATAACCACATGTTGCGGTAAACCAGTAGTTTACCAACACTTTTAGAGTATGACATGAAAGATTAGGCCATCCTGGTTCAGTTATGATGAGAAAAATTATGCAAACTACTAATGGTCATCCATTGAAAAACGAATAATCCTAGTTCAGTCATGATGAGAAAAATTGTGCAAAATACTAATGGTCATCCGTTGAAAAACGAGAAAATTTTGCAATCGAATGAGTTGTCATGTAAAGCATGTTCTCAAGGAAAACTCATAACTCGGCCATCACCAGCCAAAGCTGGAAACAAATCCCCTGTATTCCTAGAGAGAATACATGGTGATATATGTGAGCCGGTCCACCCACAATGCGGGCCGTTCAGATATTTCATGGTATTGATTGACGCATCTAGAAGATGGTCACATGTGAGTCTTTTGACTATAAGAAATACGGCTTTCGCAAGGTTCATTGCCCAAATAATCAGGTTGAGAGCGCATTTCCCTGGTTATGTCATAAAGAAAGTCAAGCTTGATAACGTTGGTGAATTCACTTTCCAAGCTTTTAATGATTATTGTATGTCCTTGGAAATTGATGTTGAGCATTCAGTGCCACATGTTCATATAAAAAAATTGTATGGCTGAGTCATTGATTAAGCGGTTGTAACTGATTACAAGGCTATTAATCTTGAGAACAAAACTCCCAGGCACTGTATGGGGACATGCTATATTGCATGTTGGGGCATTGGTCAAAGTGAGACCAAGTGCATATAATGAATATTCTCCCTTATAGTTAGTATCTGGCCAAGAACCAAATATATCTCATCTTCGTGTGTTTGGGTGTGCAGTCTATGTTCCTATAGCGCCACCCCAAAGAAAAAAATGGGACCACAAAGAAGATTGGGGATATACATTGGTTATGAATCACCAAGTATTATTCGATACCTGGAAACGGCTCAGCTAAAGCACGGTAGATCAATAGGATCAAAAGATAAAAATCCCCGAAAGAGAAAGAAATTGGGAGTAATGGTTCCAGAAGAAGCAAAATCTCATGGAGACATTTGTGAAGAAGTTTCAGATGAGATTTGTCCTGAAGACGAATCTGGAGCAGAAAAATATGAGATTTCCATCTCCTTCGCCCAAAGTAGAAAATTATGGGATAAAAGTGATGTAGAAGATAATGATGGAATGTTCTCTTTTTTCTGTATCCGAAGAGATCGATCATGAATATGATGATCCAGACCCAAGGTTCATATCAGAATGTCAGGAAATAATTGATTATAAAGAAACATATTCCCCGGTAATGGATGCTATCACATTCATGTAATTAATGAGCTTAACAGCCTCTAATAATTTTGAGATGTACCTGATGGATGTTGTGACATCATATCTATATGTATCACTTGATAGTGATTTACATATGAAAATCCCTGAAGAATTAAAAATATATGAAGCATTAAAATCAAAATCTAAAGAGATATGCGTGATCAAATTACAGCGATCACTTTACGGATTAAAACAATCCGAACGCATGTGGTATAATTGCTTAACTGAATATTTGTTGAGTAAAGGTTACGTCAATAATGCGATATGCCCTTGTGTGTTTATTAAGAAATTTGTGTCATAATTTGTGACCATAGCTGTTTATGTTGATGATGCAAAGACTCATATGAAAGAAGAGTCTGAAATGAAAGATTTTGGAAAGACAAATTTTTGTCTTGGGCTCCAAATTGAGCATCTTTAAGATGGAATATTTGTGCATCATTCAAATGAGACCAGAAGGGTGTTGAAACGCTTTAGTATGGATAAAGCGACTCTTTTGAGTACTCCAATGGTCAACAGATCGCTTGATATTAACAAGGATCCATTTCGGCCTTGTGAAGGTAACGAAGAGATATTAGGTTCTGAAGTACCTTATATGAGCGATATGGATGCACTTATGTATCTTGCAAATTATACTAGACCAGATATTGCTTTTGCTACTAACTTACTTGCAAGGTACAGTTCAACACCAACGCACATACATTGGAATGGAATTAAGCATATATTCTGTTATCTTCAAGGTACGATTGATTTTGGATTATATTATTCTAGAAACTCCGAGGTTGCTCTGGTGCATTTTACAGATGCAGGATACTTATCAGATCCACATAAGACTTGATCGCAAACCGGTTATGTTTTCACTATTGGTGGGACCGCAATCTCGTGGCATTCACAAAAGCAGACATTGGTCGCTACATCTTCAAATCATGCAGAAATTATTGCACTTCATGAGGCTTCTAGAGAATGTGTGTGGCTAAGTTCTATGACTAATCATATCCAAGAGGCAAGTGAAATAATCATCAATAAGAAGCCAACAAAAATATTTGAAGATAATGCAGCATGCGCTGTTCAACTCAAAGAAGGTTATATCAAGAGGGATATATCAAAACATATCTTTCAACATTTTTCTCATATACTCAAGAACTTGAGAAAACTGAAGAGGTAGATATTCAATATGTTCGCTCATGTGACAACACAACTGATCTATTCACAAAACCGCTTCCAACTACAATATTCAAGAAACATGTTTACAATATTGGAATGCGGCATCTACGAGATATGTGAAGAGAAAATGAGATCCATCTTTTCTAGGGGGAGTTTGCTGATGTACTTTTTTTCCCTTTGTCATGGTTTTTGTCCTACTGAGTTTTTTCATGGAAATGTTTTTAATGAGGCAGCACACAACTTCACAATGATGGATACTCAAGGGAGAGTATTATAAAAATGGTGATTATCCA